ACACACACACACACACACACACACACACACACACACACACACACACACACACACCTGTGTTCACTCATGACTAAGTCAAGTGGAGTTAAATGTATGTGGAGCGACGGCCTGAGCCACACGGACAGTTATATTTCCTGAGGAGATACGTTTCATGTCAGAGGTGGGAAGGACCAACAGATTTACTTTAATTACTTGACTCATGAAGAGCTATTTTCATGCAATATACACACAGTTATGCTATGTTGCTTGCTGCATTATTAATGCACTAACTTAATCTTCCTGTAGCCTACAACAAAAAGCTCCCTGCAATGTTCCTCATGGCAACATGTTGATTCTCCCCCCCCCCAAGTTATGTTAATCTTGGCGAGCTCAACATGTCAGGGAACAAATCCCTCACTGCTTCTTGTAAAGATTAACTGTTGTAAGTGCACAGTAATAATTACAGACTGGACAATCCCCCCCCCCCCCCCCCGCCCCAATTTGAAAATGACTCCCTTCATGTTCTTTGATTCATTTCCCTCTAAATATACAAAGTTCTGTTACTCAACAATGTATCTGTAAAGCAGACGAAAAGCATGCAGGGCTTGTATCTAAAAGGAGCATCCGTAAAAGCATCCGGGCTGTGCACTCTTAGACTCACCAAAGCAAACACGCTGTTCTGCCCCGAGACTTCTTGACTTTTAACAAACGAAACCAAAGGAAGAGAAAAAAAAGACTGGAAGAGATGCAGAGTGGCTGAGTTCATGAATTAACTGACCGTACTATTGTATGATGGAGCTTGGTGCATAGTCTCCAGGCAATGGAGTACAATAAAATCTATTACTAGATCCACTGGCACGCACACACGCACACGCACACACACACACACACACACACACGCACACACAGGACGCACCAACATTTAATGTACTGGGCTATATTCTAATCTGTGGCAAAGGCAAGATTATTTACACATACGCTCCATTTGGATGTAAAAAAACAAAAGCACTTACAGTAAAAAAAAAGGAAAAAGTTGCACTGTGAGAGACAAGAGCACAGACATCCATGTGTGTGTGTGCGTGTGCGTGTGTGGGTAGGATGAATTTCCCCTTGAGCCAACAGGGGCTCAACACACACAGGGTAAACATCATTGGTCTCAATCCCGGGTGAGTCGATATTGGGCTTGTCTGAGCGCAGGACTTTATTTTTCTCTCCCTCACTCTTGTTTTCGCAGGCTGTGACCTCAATTCCATAGAGGTCATTTGCTTATCAAAGGCAAGGACTGGAACCTGCAGGTCCTGAGTGTGTGTTCATTGTGTCCAAGGAAATTCAATTAGGCGGCATCCCTACCGTGTGTGTGGCTGGGATTCATCAGTGGATGTAGGGGGATTAGGGTTGGGTCTACATCAGGGGAATGCACCATTTCAAGGGGGAGAGTTCACAATGGTCGAGGGGAGACATCACAGATGAATGCTTTTAAGAATGCACCGTCTGCACATCTTGGCAACCAGTCAAAAGCATGCTCTA